ATAACACCATTGCCTTAAAGAGGCTGGTCCGCTCTACCTCCTGACCTCTACAGAATCAGTTCAGCTAGTAGTAGTTTCAGCATAGCTTATGTAGTCTAGCCTGTTACATATTCTACTTTCTCAGCCCATTAAAAAGGTTGTTCCTATTGACCTATGAGGACCTATGAATAAAATGCCATTAGAACTACCATAAAAAGAAGCATTGAGTTATGTATCTCTGGTACTTGTATATATTGCACTGAAACTTTTATAAGTGAGTGCTTTAAGCACGGGATGGGGAGCTCTTTGCAAGGATTCCTACTGCCAGTTTCCAAGGAAACAATAATTTAGTTTACTTGACAGTTCCCAAATGGACTCTGTTGGGGTTGTGAAGTGACACTTGATTTTGTTTCTTTGCACCTACTAATTGCTGCCGCTGTTGAAACAGCAGCAAGCTCCCCCGCCTGCTTCTTGCATGAAGACAGCTTGAGTAGCTGGCGCCAGAACTAGGCGATTGTTTCTCCAGGGCCGGCTGGCAATATTCTGTCCCTACGGCTGTTAACCCCGGAACTTGTTTCAAGAATTATTCAGGTGTTTTTAGAAACACAGTTCTATGATTTTTCTGCAGTAACTGTAAGTTAGATTTGACATGTCTACTGAATTGTTTTAACTTTGACATATTCAAAGATATTCCTTCACCAACTCAGTGCATTGTGTTATTTATTTATTTATTTAGGAGAGGAAGAATTTATTGAGAAAAAAAAGCTTCTGTCTAAGAGAAAAGAAGGGGGCCTGGAAAGTGGGTTGCCCCTTAGATTGTTTTTTTAAAGAGAAAGAGAGAAAAAAAAAAAAAAAGAAAAAAGAAACGTAAAGCAGCTTCAAAACAGGTTAGTAGGAGAGTTACAATGATTAATGCATTGTGTATTGTTGTCTTTCTAGTAGTTATTTATTCAGAGTACAAAATATAGGACATCTTGTAACAGACATAAAATTTTTGCAACATAAAATTTCATTTTTATTTTATTTTTAATTTTAAAATGAAAGCAGAACAAAAATGACACAAAATTTGAAAACTGTAATAGATGAACAATGATTAATATATTGTGTATTGTTATCTTCAAAGTAGTTGCTCAGATTACAAGATTTAGGCATGAAAATGGTCAAACAATGAAAGCACAAATCGTTCGTCTTGATGAACTAAGAAATAAGCTAGTATTATTATTTTGTATGTACGACAGGAATTTTTAAAAAGAAATATTGCCCCCTTGTGTTGTAACATGGTACACCATTGCATTAGGACTAAGGAAAAAAGTATACCTATACGTTCAAAATCCTCCTTAAATATAGCAGATCTCACTTAGAAACAACATTAAGGGCCACTTTATATTATATCCTAAGTACATTAACAAATAACAAAAGCCAAAAAGATCATATGTCTGTTTCCTTGATCTAGGATTATAGCAAACACCATAAATGTTGAATTTAGAAAGGGTCTTGATCTATCTGTTTTAGACACAAATTTCTCTGCATCTTTGTTTTGTTTTTCCCACATAGTTTTACCTGGAAGAAATCCTACTGCCTGTGTTAACTGACTTTTTAGAGGGCTTTATGGATGAGAAAGGCTTTTGCACACTGATCTCATTTGATCTTCAAATCCGGGGTGTGAGGAAATGGGGTACGGTTATCCTTTTCACTGTAAAAAAGAAAAAAAAGGAAGATAAGGAAAGTTAAATAACTTACCCAAATTTATATAATTAGAAAATGTGATTAATAATACGAGGGAAGTGTAGTATACCAAAGTCATGTAAGGAAGGTCTTCTGACCTGAAATAGGTGTGACACCAAGACATGAGTCAGGGCAGTATTTATCCTGCAGAATTAGAGTTTTTCAAATCTCTTATTAATCAAACTAAATGAAGGTCTGTTTCTTTATAGCCTTAGATTCTATGCTCATTGGTTTTACAAGATAGCATTACTTTTCTATTTGTGTCATTTGTAAATGTAATTGGTGGGTCAGCACGGTGAAACAGTGCCAAAAATAAAAGGAAAAAATGTAAACGGGCTTTCTCACATTCTGTTATTGGAAATGTATTCTGTAGTTAACAGAAATAATTACTAAGAGGGAAATGTATAGATGACAGATGTTAACAGGATGCACTAATCAGTATTACATAACTGAAGCATTTTATTTTTTGTTTGTTTTGCTTGCACTCTGAATAAATTCCCATGGTTAGAATTTTAAACACTACAAGAAGAGGAAGTAAAAAGATAAGGATATTTATGTCCTGTTCAAGTTTAATTTTATCCCCCAGAAGTAAGTGTAGTATACAGTTTTCCAGTCTCTTTTCTATTTACATTTATTTGCATACATGGGTCCTAACATTTTGGGGTTGCTTTATTGCTGAGGACATATATATGATCCACTTATAAGTATTTTATTTACTAATTTTTTTTACTTAAAACATTTTGAGACCTTGCCATAAAATGTGTATAGATCAACCTTACATTCTAACTGCTGCAAAGCTATTCAAGGTAAGTGTTCCTATAATTTAACTTTTACATTATTTGTGATCTTTTAGGATGTGATCACTAGTGAGGTTAAGATTTTTCATTAGGTTACAATAATTTTGGCATATATTTAGTAACAAAATTAGTCAAGATGACCACATTTAAGTGGCTCTAAAGTGCTATTTGATTATTAATTTTAATATATTGTGTATGTATATGGCTTATTTGTCATCTTTAATATTTAATATTTTTACTTTTGATTTTGACCCCACCTGTAAAAATTATTTACGTGATTTTATTTACCTCTTTTAAAAGTCAACTTTCTTTCCTTCTCCAGCCTTGTTTCTTTTTTCCTTCTCCTTCTCCTTCCTTCCTTCCTTCCACCTTTTTTTACAGTGGAGGATGCTTATTAAGAGTACTCTGGAATTCAACATTTGTGCAAGGAAGAGGAAGGAAGCAGGAAAGTGGAGGCAGAGGTGAAAAGCTGCAGTGCAGTGGAATGGTTTCCCTGACCCTCTTTGCTGGGAACAAAAGTGTCGCCCCAAAGCGCTGCCAAAGGACACAACAGCTAGAGCACTGTAGGTAGCCCTGCTTTGACCCACCAGCTGTGGCTGTTTTTCACCCGGGCCCGGGGTTTCCCTTTTCTGGGATTCTTCCAGAAGTGGCTGACTGATGACAGCAGATGACAGCCTGGTCAACCAGCCCTTTCGGAACGGGACTTTTGCATCACCATGCTCCCCAGGGTTTTTATTTTTAGTAGTCAAAATAACAATTTGATTAATAAATATTTTATTTTGTTAGTAAATAAGTATCGCGTTGATTGTAGGACACTGATATATTCACACTCTTTATTTTTTTCTCACAATTTGTTCTCATATGCCCTTCTGGAGTTATCTTTCTTCTTGAAGTGCATCCTTTATAATTTTCTTTACAAAAGGTAATCTAATAAAATATGCTTGATATTTTTCTTATTCTTATAATATAGTTTTTCTGGGTGCAGATATTACTCTAAATTTTGTGTAAGATGACTTCATTATCTTCCCACTTCTCTCCCACTGTTAGAAGTGGGCATGCTTGTCACTCTGTCTGCCTCTTAAATTCTGATATAAATTTAAGTCTCTAAGAAGTATCAAAGAAAATGAAAAGTACTCCTACGTGCCCTTTACCTGATCTCAGTAATAGCTTACATTCTGATTTATTACTTTATTTGTATATTTCAGTTACTATAACTGCATATGACATTTTCCAAAAGTTGGAAGTATTAAAAACAATTTCTTGTGTAGACAGACTTGGTGGGTGAGGATTCTGGATAGGGCATGTCCTATGTCTGCCCCATGACATCTGGAAGATGTGAGGACAGAGGTGTGTTCAATCACTTTTGCAGGTTGATATGCATTGAGGGTTGTTGGAGATTTGGGTCCGTTCCAGGTGAGCCTCTTCATGTAGGGCTCTCTGCCTAAGGGATCTAGGGATGAGTCTATTCATTTCGACCTTATTCTGTTTCTCCCTTATGTGCTTTTCATATTTTTCTACTTTTGGTAGATTGATTCTATTTTACTTACACCTATCAAAAAACCCTAACCCTTTTTTATTGTTATTTGGTTTATCTTATTAGGTTAACCTAAATTTTGAGCACATGCAAGATCAATACATAATCTTATAGTTATAGATTTTCTTATTTTAAGGAAGTCTAAAATTAATATAAAGAAGATTTTAAGGACTTCTATTATTTTCTTTCTTCTGTACTGTATAGCTGCTAAGGTAATCTGGGATTATACATGAGATTGTCAATAATTTTATTTGTGTTATACTTCAAGAACTATTTTGTCTCACTGAGTACATATGTTCTAATTAATTTTATATTGTTAAACCTGACAGTTTGTTTTCTTATAGATAAAGTTAGGGGGAGACATACCCTACCTTTCAGAGTTGTTATAAAGATTAGAATTTATGTTACCACAGAGCAGAGCACAATATAGGTGCTCAATAAATGCTTGTCTCTTTGTGATGGCCTCTGTTCTAGTGCTATTTTTTCCATGAAACTTTTAGAGTGAGTTATTGTCCATGCTTTGATGAGTGTTTGAGACCCACATATTTAGAGACCTGGCCTGGGGTATATGTGGATGGAGAATGTATGTAATTCATTCATTCTTTCTTTCTTTCTTTTCTTCTTTAGCACTAAGTTGTCTCTTTATTTCAGTTGCTACTATTTCAGAAATTTCAGGTGTGTGACTTCTAACTTCTTTTATGTCCGTGCTTCTCACCTTGTTCGGGGTGGGCTGGAGGTCTGAGATTGTACCCTGCTCTGTTGTCCTCCCATGCAGGGTTCCCTGGTGGTGGAGAGGGGCAGGGCGGCTGCTCATCCATGTTCCCCGATCTTCCTCTCCTGTGGCCCACCATGGTGGGTTCACTGGGGCCTGACCTCCTCTCCTCTTGGGCCTGTGGTAGGAGTCTCACCAGGGCCATGTCCTCCCTCTCTCAGGGGCTGCAGTGGTGGGCCCTCAGGGTAGGGAGAGTTGTTTCTTTCTAATGAATTGACCATTACAATTCTAAAGTTCTGCAGTGGCCAGCAGAACATAGAAAGATACCACTTTAGGCTCCTACTTGAAACCAACAGCTTCAGAAAACTGCTGGCCTCGATTCAGGGCCAGTACATGTAATTCTTAAACCTTTGGTATAGAATGATTTAGTCTCCTGTTTAAGAAAGTAAGAATTACAGAATCATGGAAAGAATCATGAACTAAGCAGACAGGCAGCATAATTAAAGATGCATCCTATTCCTTTTATATTTACCCTCTTCAATCACTTTAGCATCGTCTTCTTAGTTCTTGGTATCCACGGCTAATAGTCATGCTATTACTATGAAATACTTCCTTAAATTGACCTTAATTTAACTCATTTCTTTTATGTTGCTTCCTGTCTGTGTACTTACACATGATGCTTTTTACTTTATTTGTTACAAAATAAAGAAAATATAAATGATAACCAATAAAATATTCTTCTGTGTGTCATCTAAGGCCACATCACAGTGTGTCTTACGAGCGTTATGCCTAGGTCAGAAAGCTCTGTCTCCGCAGCATGCTCGCTCTCTCTCCATCCTGTGATTTGTTACAGGCTCCGGTATCCAGCCCAGCAACCAGCCAGCTCCTCCTGTTCTTCCCTCCCTCCTGCTGTTTGTCCTAAGCTCCATGGCTTCATTTCTCTACAGCTTAGCGCCCCTTGCTGTGCTTGCCACATGGTAGGTACCCACTAAATAACTGCTCAACCGTGAACGTGATGCTTTTTAAAACAGTTTGAGGAATCTAATTGCGTTTAGTTTTTCTTTGCATTTTTATTTATATTGTAGCCAGTTCTTTAAAATATGGCAAAGAAGAAAATACGAATGTGCTACAAATGCAGACTACTCACTTCAGCTTAAAATTACAGGGGTTGGGATTGTACGAGGTGTGATAAAAAAATCAGGTGGCTGTTTACATGCTTTAAAAATGTGTTACAGTAAAAGACGCGTTTCCACACATTCCCTCAAAACACTCTCCCTCACTTTGGACACACATATCCATCACCCTTGTCGTCTTTGGAAGCAGTTCTGAGAGTCCTCTTTCCTGAGCGTCTTGAGTTGAAATGTCCATGGATACTTAAGGTCCTGGATAGATTCAACACGTTTACCTTTCATAGTCATTTTGACTGTGGGGTACAGCCAGAAGTCTCATGCTGCCAGATCTGATAAATAAGGCGGACGAGGACACACTGTCATATTTTTACAAACATCCTTCAATCATACATCGTAAAGAAAGGAAATGAGGCTTCCAGAACGGCTTCAGAGAGTGGCAAGAAAAAAAAAAAGAAAGATGTGTGTCAGTGAGGAGGAGTTCGGGATGGGGGATTAATGGCAATGTGTCTTTTGCTGTAATAATTTTTAGAAAATATAAATATTCACCATGTTTGTTGATAACTTCGTATCTTAGTGATACAGTGCTTTCTAGCATGAGCAGGGCCCTGAGTTCAATCCTCAGTACCTTAAATATAAATAAATACAAATAATAAATATTATTAGATTAGTATTATTTAATAACTGAAGATACTGAAAGTCATTATTGCTTAATAACTAAAGATATTGAACTCAGGGTGAACCAGTTTGATTCTGAATACTAACAACTTCACTACAAAGTTGATCACAAAATATTCGGTAATAGCTCCCAACCACTGTTCTGGTATCATGAAGGCAGAGTATTATTATCTCTTGTTCAGTGTACCTTCTGCCTTTATTTCTCTCCCTGACACAGTTCCCCTCCATGTGCTCACACACACAACAACATTATAATTTCTTCAGCACTATTTGGAATTGAGTTAGAGACTGTGTTTTTAATCATACAACATAACTTAGAATAGGTAACAAAATATATTGTGGTTTATTTTTTTCAATTTAGGATAATACTACATTTGAATATCTTGAATATATCTTAATTTTATTTACTTTATAGGAACACAACATATTTTGTCCATGTAGACTACAGTAAGAGTTTGTATTTCACAATCAAAATAAAGATTGCATTAGGACCTCTAGGAAAAATATATCACCTGCTTTGTATTCAAAAACTTCTTTCTATAAGCTGATTTATATCTGGCAAAAATGAAAGGTCTGATTGAAAAGCAAACAGATGTGAGCTGTGTGCACTTAGTAATACTGTGTAATCTGAGAAGCTCTTCCCAATATTTCTTTACTGAATAGAGTGAGCAGGAATACTATTCTCCTAGGAAGAGATGAGCAACAATTTATACTAAGGCAAAAACAAATTCATGCTACAGCTTCCAGTAAAGAGAATTTAACAAGAAGAAACATATTGGTTAATATAAATGAAATCATTCGTTTCATTGATTAACCTAATTCTCCTTTTGGTTTTCACAAAAGACTTCCACTGCATAGATTTTACTCTGAAAATTATGCCTTAACGGTTTTATCCCAATGTTCATAATGAGTGAACAAAATTAATTGTTTTGAAAGCAAGCATCAGCATTTCCTTTTCTACAGAGCAGAAGTTTGTCTTTCAGACCCAGCTTGTTATTTTGTGTTCACCTTCCTCTGTCGCAGGACGGATAAAGGTCTTCCCGTCTGGATCTCCATCTGAACCATATCTGCATATGCTTCTGTGCACACACTCACTATTCCCCCCTCTTCCTCCTCCTTTGGTCTTTGGTCTGGGATCTGTCATTCATGACTCGCAGCAGGTCATCACTGGTAATGCGCCCAGTACGTATAGTATGTTCCTTCCTCTGTGGTTCATCTACTTTTCTTTTGAATGTAGGATTGTTCTAACTACTCCACATTCTCACCAACATTTGGTGTTAGTTCTCACAGTTGTTGCCAGTCTAGTGAGTGTGTGAAGTAGTCTCTTATGGTAGTTTTAATTTGCATTTCCTTAATGACTACCTGGCTTTCCCAATGTCTTCCTGGTTAGGAGCCTGGTCAATCTCTTTATATCATAGGGTTTGTTCTTTGTCAGATATATATATATATATCTCAAATATTTCTCTAAGTCTGTGGTTGTCTATTTCCTTTCTTAAGCCAATCACTGGCTATCAGAACTCTTTTGTTTTTCATGTAATATACTTTCTCATTATTTTAATTCATGGTTAGTATTTTTAATGACTTAAACCCTTTTGTTTATACCAAGCTTGTAAAAGATACATGATGTTTTATTTTAGAGACTTTTAGTTTTAAAGTATAAACTTGTGAAGTGTATCAAGTGTGATTTTATAGATCATTTCAATTAGGAGCTGTGGCTCTTCATTTTTTTCTCATAGGTATATTATTGTTTCAGCATGCTGTAGTGGAATGATTATACTTTCTCTCTGGTGTCCTTGTTGAAAATAAGTTGACCATGTAACTGTAGGGATTTTCTGCATTCCATTTTCTTCTGAGATATTTGCTTCATCTTACACCAAAATCTTACTATCTCAACTATTATAATTTTGAAATCAAGTGATCTTGAAATCGAGCAGTTGGAATCCTCAATTTTTTTGGTCACTTTATGGCATGGTATGAAAGTTTCACATGCACTTAGAAAGACTGTGCATTCATTCATTCATTGTTTGATAATATTTAGGTTAAAATATTAATCTTTTTCAAAGTTATTTTTATTTTTACTGCTTATTTTTTCTATCAAACACCAATAGAAGAGTATTTTTTTAAAAAATTTGGTCTTTCTAGTAGTATGTAATGCTATCATACCATGGCTTTAATTTGCTTTTCCCTAATGACCAGTGATGTTGAACATATTTTATATGCATACTGGCTGTGTTTTCTTGTACCCCAGTTTTTAAGGGAAAGTTTGTGTTTGGGGATGAAAACAATGTGGTGGCTTCAATTTTATCTTTTCTTTCCCCAGAATTTTAGCTTCCTGGCTTCCTTAGCAGACTGTACATTAGAATTATGCTGCCAAAGAAGAAATAAAAAAGGAAGTTATGCTAATATAGAGTTAATTCATAAAACCAGAGATGGGAATGTTAACCTGTGTGCATAAGAGTCTCCTCTGATTAAAAGATGGCATGGAACTTGCGGTTTTCCTGAGCTTGGATCCTATTACAGCAGGTGTAAAGCTCTCACTGCTCCGGGTCCATCTCTACAGAGTTCAGGTGTCAAAGCCTGACATTTCATTAAAACACATTCTGTGAATGCTTAGATATTTAACAAAAAGGTGTGAAATGAGCTGTTATATCACAATGTTTTTTTTTATTATTTTTAAAAATAGTTTCTTTGAGAATATGGTTGTTCCCTCCGAGATACATTTATTGGAAGATATTAGGTGGATTTAAAAAGGTTTAAAAGGTGCTGTTTTAACTACAAAAAGAAGCTGTGAAGATGTACTTTTTTTTTTCCTTAGGTGGTTCTCTTCACACAACATTATATCAATGTATCCTTTTTTGGTAATCTTTCCTATTATCAGGATTCCATGTACACAAACATATACGAAAAAAATGGAATTCTATGAAATTTATACTCTTCTATTAGAGATATTTTTAAGACAGATATTGATATTCACTAAATAATCTAAGGCAATTAAACCTGATATGTAGACTTGAGTTCTTTTTATTTCTAAAATAAAATAATATTAATCTGGTTTCACAAAACCCTTGTGATAATCAGTACAATAATAGCATGGAGTATTTACCTAAGAAGGTTTATCATCTGAGATAACCAAGATCTCTCTTTTTTATTTTAAAAAGGACAAAAGAAAATAAAACCAATCAAGACAAACCAGTGAAGAGATGCAGGACTTCAAAACATTATGAAATTAACAATAGTCACCATAATGCATTTTGATGTCTTCAGAATAGCTACAGATAACTTTGGACATAGTAAAAATCAAACAGAACAGAATAGAATAGAAACAATAAAAACAAAATAATGAATACAATAAAGGATTTAAAAACAAGCCAATAGGAAATCCAAAATTGTTATCATAATGTATCTTGCCATCTTTGAAATAGCTTTCCTGCTGTTGGATTTAACATAATCAAACAAATCAAAAGAGAATAAAACCCAATCCAACAAAACAATGACAATGATATTAGACCTCAAAACAAGACCATAGGGAATAAACAATGGCTACAACCCTCAGAAGGAGACCTCCCTAGATGCCATACTGTGTAC